TGGGGAGTTCTGTGATCTACAAAATACTGGAATGAAAACTGTACCAACATTTCTTAAAAACTTTTGTGTCCTATGCTGATAAAAGTGAAGAGGAAGATGAGCATCAAGAGATATCAAATTTACTCAAAGCAATCCAGGCTGCATTACCATTTTCATAGAATCACTCCAGTGCAGTCTGCACTGACCCTCTGAAGAGTTTCCCACCCTGCATTTACATTGGCTAATCCACCTAGTTGATGCATCTTTGGACTGTGGGGGGAAGGCCAGAGCACCCAGAAGAAACCCATGAAACAATGTGCAAACTTCACACAGACAGTCACCCAAGGCTGGAATTGAACCCAGGCCTTGGTGCTGTGAGGCAACAATACTCACCACTGAGCCACAATACCACCCTGTTTTTAGTCTAGATTTGGTGAGATTCTGGTTTTCAGGGTTCCCACAGTCACATTTCAATCACTATCAGATTCATGTTGTCAAGAGATAGCTGCATGAATCTCTTTGCAGTCTAATATGGCCAAAATTGATGTAAATAGCAGCTTTTGCATTTAAACATGCCTTTTACAGTGAAACATCTCAATCCCTTTCATATGATGAATCACTTTTGAACTACAGTGACAGTTATAAGGTGGGTGGCAGTGAGATCCTTGTTGATATGGTGAATTTAATGTACAAAATATCTGTATAAAATGAAAAAGGTTCACAAAACCACTAATAACTTAAGGGACTTAATTGATTTGAGCACAATGTAGAACTGTTGGTTAGGTCTTTAATGATTTAGCAAAAACATGACAATAACATCACAAAATAATTAATGTTGAATACGTATAGTTTAGATTAGGAATATGGTTATAATGGGGAGGTGATGGCCTAGTGGTACGACTGCTAGACTGTTAATTCAGGGACCACATAATGTTCTGGGTACCTAGGTTCAAATCTTAGCATGGTAGATGGTGGAACTTGAATTCAACTAAATATCAGGAATTAGGAGTCTACTGATAACCATGAATCAATTGTTGGGGAAAAGCCCATCTGGTTCACTAATGTCCTTTAGGGAAGGAAACTGCCATCCTTACCTAATCTGGCCTACATGTGACTCCAGACTCACAGAAATGTGACTGACACTTAATTGCCCTCTAAGGATGGTTAATAAATGCTAGCCTGGCCAGTAACACACAGATCCTGTGAACGAATAAAATAAAAACAACTTCTTTCTCAAATGTAGACATCAATCCCTTTTACTGGATCAGTTATATATTAAATCAACCAAACAGGCCAATTGCAACTGAGCAGGATTAATACAAACCCCAACAATGGTACCTCAAAGTAATTACTTTTCAAAAAATGATCACTTCATGAAAAACTTTGCAAGTGAATTTCAAAGTAGTAGAACAGCCAGAAAATGAAATATACCTGTGTGTCTTGTAATGTTATAGCAAATTTTGAGGCAAGGAACTGGAGGTTAAATTTAACAGTCCCTAAAAAAAGGGCCATGAAAATTGCAATGCAACAGCCATAATACCACAAGAAAAAGAAACAGGAGTAGGGCATTCAGCCCTTGATCCTGCTCTATCATTTAATAGGATCATGGCTGATCTGACACTCCTCACATCCACTTTCCTGCCCTTTCTCCATGTCCATTGCTTTTGTTGCAGTAACACACCAAGTCTGTGCCACCTAATAAATTACAATGATCTTAGTGTGCAGTCGGCATTAACTGGGCTGATCACTGGCTGTACGACTCATCACTAAGCACAAAATTGTGAGAAGATAGAAACAAAGAAACTGTCAACCTGTTCAAAGACAGTTCACTCTTTTTATATGGAAAATACATTGTAGGTGGAGCAGGTTGTGGGAGTTTTTCTGGAACATATTTTGACAAGAAAAAGATGCAATAATGGCAGTGTTTGAGAGTGCAGTCTCCAAGATATTCTGGTTCAGCACAAAGGGTTTGGATTGAAGAGATGCAAAGGAGAAGACTTGGGATTTGCCAGCAATGCTCAGATCTCATGAATGAAAAAATAATAAAAAAAGGAGAGCTGGTGGAAACTGGATACTGGGCTTTGTGGAAGAACTTGGCGTGTATCCTTTCCAGTGTGGAGGTGGTGATCAATTCCATTAGCACGATTGCAGATCTGACCACAGTTTCTAATGACCAATGTCTTTGCTTCCATTGCAACATAAGTGAAAGCTGCTTAATGTCTGGCTTCTGCAGTTGAAACCCAGACTGAAGCCATGCAGGGTGAGCTTGTTTGCAAGCTGTTGTCATGGCTGCAATACCAAAGGGACCTTCAGGATGTCACAGCAGTCCAGAAGCTGTCCTCCGACAGATTACTGGCATTGGTGAAAGGCTACCTCTTGGGAATGGCATTGGTTACGTGGAAGATGAAACTGTTGCCACTCCACTAGCACCCATGCTGTTGCCTCTCAGCCAGACCAGAGCGCTGAGATGGTGCAATCTGTGGGCTTTCAAGTGCACAGCCGCTGATGGTCATTCTGCAAGGCCATCTGAAGACTCCTTCACTGAAAGTCAGCAACTTTCCACCAGCCATGCTTCAACTATAACTACACGGTAGCATTAGGGAATGTCTCAAGGAAAACAGGCATGAAGAGATTGTGCATGGGTAACTGTTTGGCATTTTTAGAGTTGCTCAAACAGCAAGTCATAAAACGGCTCTCTATATTGGCTTCTTCTACAGTATTCTCCACTGTATAGCTGGTGGCAAGGGCTATATTTCATGATGGCAACATTGTGTGATGTAGTAGACCACAGCGATTCTCAACATGTACTCTACCAATACACCTGCTTTACCAAGAATTGCAGGATATCATGTTAGTGGCGAAATACACAATATCAATATTTGACTTTCACTACCTGATTGTAATACCTGTAACTTCCATAAAATGAAATAGTTTCATAAAAGAAAAATCACTGACTTAAAGATGGCTGCAGTGATCTCCTGACCACAGATTGAACCAAGCTTCATGAAACCATCAAGAAACAAGAACCAGCCTGAAGTGAAACTAACTTGTTATTTAAAAAGACTGAAACCACTCAACCAGATCTGTAACTCCTGTTGAACTTCCACCTTCATGGAAAGTTCACATGTTGAAGTTAAAAACAAAATGCATTACATGCAATTAACCAGCTTGAAAACAAGAAGTCAGATACTGGAATACACAAACCAGCTACATTTCAGGGAATTTTTTTTTTGACATGAGTTGAGATGGATTTGTAGCTGGAACTGGAGGAGTCACCCTCTCTCTCTTTCTCACCCGGATTTCACTCAACCTCTTCACGGACAAAGCACAAGGCAGTAATGCAAACTGGAGAGAAGTTTCCAATCACTGTGGATTCAAAGATGTCTGGAATATTTGTGGCTGATGTTGTTCCAAGACATTCCTAACCAATTATTTGTCTCAGGGTTAACAAGTAACAAAATTGCTTTAGCTTTCACCCAAAAAAATCTTCCAGTTGATTCCTCAGTTGTTTCTAGTGAACTAATTAACAACATTTTAATTTAAATGAGGCATAGCTACATGTTAGAAAAAGATCCTTACATCTTTATTGTGGCCAAGAGGATGAGCCATGAACATATTGAAAAGCAGAGCAGGCCCAAAGGGCCAAATGATGTACTCTTGCACTTAAGTTTTATGTTTCTGCATTGTTCCTAATTAGGGTTCTGAAATAACTGCACTGAGGCCAGTATCCCGTCATCACATCACCCTTTATTCACATATAGTTTGTACATGGGCTCTGACCAGCCTGCTCTGAGCCAGTCCCTAGAATCAGTAGCCTCTCTGAATCTCCTGTTTTCAGCTGTCAGCCAGGGCGCCCTGATTGGCCCAGGTTAACAACCACGATCAAAGATCTTATAGTCAATGAGATCTACCTGGCCCTGTTTCCAATCACTACAGGTTCAGAGAAAGATTTTCTCCTTGAACATCCAAGCAAATGTGGGTTTCAGCTGAGAACCCTTTCCTTGTTCCTTCCTGTCCTCTGTATGATAGTAGCTCAATCTGCTGAATTACAGTTCTGCTCATTCTGTCAGTCAAGGGGAATGCTTGCTTTGTACCCCTGTCTGCGACCCACAGGTGTATGAAAAAGTTTTGAAATCAGGACCCAAGTCCAAGGCACCTACACCAATTGCTGTATGTCAATATTTTCAGATCAACCTGTTCAGAGATGTTATTTCACACCCTTGGGGCAAATGGGACTTGAAGCTTGGCCTCAGAGCTCAGTGTTAAGGACACTACCACTCTACCACAAGAGCTCTACTCTGTATGTAGACTTTAGCAAATTCAAAATATGTGAGAAAACATGAATGTTTGTATAATAACAACAGTCAGTAGAAACCAATCAATCTGAAGTAGTAAGAACTGCTGATGCTGGAGAATCTGAGAAAACAAGGTGTAGAGCTGGATGAACACAGCAGGCCAGGCAGCATCAGAGGAGCAGGAAGGCTGACGTTTCGGGCCTGGATCCTTCTTCAG